AACAGCGTCGATATTTAATATTTATTGCGACACAGACATCCAATATGAACCTGAGATTTATATACGTAATCGTACCACTGATACCTACTAATTGATAATACCTTTTACACAGTTTTATTAACATTTGAGTTTTTGTTTTCTTTATTTTATTACTTTTATCTTACGATCTAATATCTTCTGCTTTCTCATATATTTTAGCTAGTCATTCATTTCTTAGTTCATTACATTATATTGAGACCAAATAAATAATTACTTTTTTTGAATTCTAACATAAATATTATAAAATATGATAGTCTAACGTGTTTATAGTAATCGCTAAGTTTAACAAACATGTGGGAATTCCTAACAAAAGTTATCATTGTAAGATCAACCGAATGAATGCTATTTTAATCACCAAATAAATCACTTTATTCTCAATAGCCATTAGAGCAGACCCGTAAAGAGTACAATTATAAATAAAACCATATGATACTCGAATCAACGGACATCGCACCCGCACGGATGTTATTTCATTTGTTGTTTTAGCTACTTATTTCTATTCGATGGCCCAATTGTGGTGTTGTAGTTCAGAAGCATTGACTATCACGTTTATAAACATTACCAGATTAGGGCGAGCACATACAGATAAAAAACTATAGAATAAAATGTATTGGAGCAAATTTATTATGCTATGCGACAGTTGTTAAAAATGCATATTTTTTTTATGCTATTACGTAAAAAATATTTAATAAATCTCCTCGGTAATTAAAAATAAATATATATATGTCACAAAACTACATAGAGATTTTTTTATAAAATTGATAAGATGTTTATGTAGATTGACAAAGAAAATACGTACGCGTAATATTAAAATATGACAACAATCCCTAAAATATATATTATAATGTCCCACAGATACCTAAATAGAGAAACATTAACCTCTTTAATTACAGAAGCACCCATCTAATTCTTTACAATAACATTAACTACAATCTAATACAAAAAGTTAACTATAATGGTTTAGTATTACGATGTTTTAAGTTCCTGCTATACTAGTATACGATTAGCCTTACTATAAATCTTGTCAAATCGTGATTTCCGGAAAACCATTCGAATCAGAATAGCGAAGCGGTCATTCGATGCACCCGTTTCTTAAATTTAAGTGTGCTATACTATAAATTAATTTTTATATACGGTTTATTAGATTTCTAATGGTTTAATATTTATAGTTACCATTGTAACAAACAGCTGAGGTGTTGGTGATATTAATTGTTTAACATTAATGGTTTAACAAATTACTTTTATGAGCTTATTAGTTAGACATCAGTAGAAGTAGGTATACAATAAGTATTTTATATAAAAACATTTTAGAGTTTTTTAAGTTGTTTATCTTGCAAAGTCAAAATAAGCTAGATAAATAAAAACAAGAAAAGATTTGTAAAACTTTATACTGAGTTAATTATTATATCTACCAATTACAATATTATTAAATACTTAAGTGGGCTGTTAGCGACTCCATCACTTAAAAGACTCAAATTTCCTGCTCTTAGGATGTTGGTGGACATAGGTGTAGACAAAATAGTTTTAATTCTCTCTCCTTTTATCATTGGAAGTTCAGCCCTGAGTGAAGTATTCATCCATACGTTGCAGAGTTTTCTAGAATCTGGACGAAGCAACACGCTTTCTCCTGTTTTTTTTGTTTCCTTTCAAATATAATGAGTGTATTTTTAAGGCCAGAGTGAATAGTAGGTATGTTAGTGATTTAATGCATTCACCAGGTATGCCTTTCGTTCTGACAAATACTAACGGCTGAACGACAGATAGGCACTAACCAGTAATTTAAAAAAGTATATAACATAAAATATATTTCATATAAATATATAAAATATGCTAAGAAATATTCAAGAGAGTTGACATGTCTTGTCTACTTCAAGAAAAATAAGTAGATGACGATTACCATTTTCCTTTTTGGGATATAAGTATATACAAAAAGTTTAAGTTCTCTGTCATAATATATTCATGTTAAGGCTTAATATACATACAGCTTAACTTTGAAACCTTAACTGTAGATGAATAGCAAAAGGAAATAGATGTTCACAATTACAAATCTTTCAAGCATTTTATGAATGTAAATACCTTAATTCAAATGAAGTAATCGCTTTGTCAAATACAAAGTTTAAAGTTAAATAATATATCTTTGAACTTTTTCTAACGGCAATTCTAGGGGCTATAGCTACAGCTTTTGGACTATTTATTTCTTTTCTATATGCCCTATGACAGTGTTATCTTGTAAGTAATTATGTAACACTTATATCATAAATACGGATTATAAAATATGGTAAGGAAAACCTCTACTAGTTACAATGTGTCGGATAAATCAGATTATTAGTCGCAATACGTCATGAGCAAATCTTTTGATCCCATTGATACCAGGTTTACAAAGAGTAAGTAAGATTCATGAGGAGATACTAAATATTGATTGTAGGTAAAATCAACTTTGTACTTTAATAATATCTTGGTAAGAGTTTGTAATTCATAAGTCGTCACGACAAGGATATGTAAGTTGATTTATTTGTGAGAAATATAGAAACTTTCAATGTTTATATTATATATGAAATTTCTGCTACAGATATTAGCTGTAGATTTTAAATGTAAGAGAAATATGTATTATTAACTATATTCGGCTGTTAGCTATATTCGCCACTCCGCCTTGAGCAAATGTGACGATTAATACTCTAACCTTCTCCATATGAGAAGAGGCCTTTTAATCAGCAGAAGGCACCAATAAGCTGATGTTCTAGTATTCAGTATTCATGAAGTCTTGATTACACTATTTATTTTAGCGTAGGTAACTATCGTAGTTTTCACACACAATTTTTGATTTAAACTGATGCGTTTGAATTTTAGTTATATAGGGTACACTTAGGTTATTTTATTTTAAACATCATTGATATTTTTAGTTTACTTTTAATTAAGACATATCTGTAAGTGGAGATATTTTTCTCAGTCTAAAGCGTAAAGATATAAAAAAGAATTACAATTTAATTAAAATACATATGTACATATATGTACAAAAACACAAACCCGCTTTGATAACATAAACTGAAATCAACTACAATAAATACAATACAATATATTAAATCATATTTTGGTAAATCGTAATAAAAATAAACTAATATTTCAAAATGTTAAGCCGCTCTCAGACACCTTAAGAACTTTGCAGGATTTTCAATGATTTATAACTTATTTAAGTATGATTTTATACTAGGTTTCTATATTATATACTTCGTAAATTTGCATCGTCGAAATACATAAGGATTGTTAACAGTTTTTCATCCCTAAATATTCCTAAATCTTCGTAAATTAACGTAAGTCACTGAATAAGAAACGGGAAACGCTACGTATGTAGTATGAGAATGGAAACTTTGATAAGCATACTCATTCATGGAATACAAATTCCCGATCAATTACTAAAATTCTTGAAGCGGTTATACCTCAAATCGAATTTATTGAAATATATTCCAAGTATTTTTGTATGTAACAAATGTGTGTACCAACATAAATATATTTAAGAAAGACAGCTCTTATTTTTAGCGGTAATATATTTAGCTGTTCTTCAAAAAGAAATTTATAAGTGGTATTAATTTATAAAGTTAGCTCGGTAATAGTAACAGTAAACAATACATGCCTATATAATGATTTCATCTATATCGGTTGTACGGATGGTTAGCAGGTGTGCTCTGACAAGCAAAATAAACGGAGCGGTAATCGATTCTAGAGTTTTAGATGGAACAGTTGTTGAATATTTAATGTATCAGGTATTTAGAGAATATTCTAACATATCTGTTTAAATTGAGAAATTTTTATTGTTTTTTTATATTATGTATTTCGCTATGATAAGGTTTGTTATATAGGAAAGAATACTGAATCTAAATTTTGTCCTTAGACATTCTATGAACTGTAGTGAGTAAAATTTTTAGCCTTTTTTGGTTTGGTTGTTTTCTTCAATCCTCTGTTGTAGTTTTTTTAATTTTGTTCTGAGAAATAACGTAGTTGGCGTTGTTATCAACAGAACTCGGCATATGTTAAAGGGGGCAAGAAGAAGCAAAACAACGTTTCAATTAAATTTTGAATATTGAAATAAAAACCATTCATTAGGCATTTAAAAGACTTTTCTACTTCAACTATTGACGATAAAAGAATACAATGTTATTGTGTATTATAAGTTTAAATATGTATAAGTAAAAGTGTCTTCAAACAGTTTTTTTATACCTACATACATACATATAAAATGTAGGTTTTGTTGGTTTTTAAGTAAAAGTGCTTTTCAGGTACACCGAGAAGGTCGTGGTATCATTAGAGATCGATAATCGATCTGTGTTTAACATTTACAATTGGGAAATTTATCTATACATATATGAATAAAGATATCCTATTTCATAAGTTTTTCAAAAGGCTTTACCTGTAATGACTTTTCTTTTATTTTAATAATCTACATATAACGATTTTATAACCCTTTCTTTATATACCATGTGTAGCTTCCAAAATGTTTATCATACTTACAAAAAATCCAATAAGTAATAAAATATATGTAACATTTATTGAAAACATATGCTCAACGCTTACAAATAAATAATAATGCCTTGTTTCTGTGTTGCGTTAAAAGTTTAACATTATAAAATTGTTTTATATTTATTATGAACTGTCAGTGTTTAAGATGTATGCAACACTTCTGCTACCACCCTTACAAATGACGTAAGCTTGTCCGTAATAAAATTAAATTGAACTTGCAAAGTCATATAAAACACATTAAGGAGTCTGTTTATTGTAAACAAATACAGTTCCTGTAACATCAGTCCAATGTTCAAGAACTCCATTGCATTGAATGTACAACGCCCCACTGGGTTCGTCCAATCACAAATATCATTTCTATAAGATACGCCCAACATGCGCTTGCGCAGCGACGCGTTCTGTAATCGACACTCAGTTTTTCTTATACGTCCGCGGACGAAGGAGGTTCGATGAATTATGGAGTCATGACTTCTGTTAGTGGTGATGTTAACAAGTCCAAGTTGAAATTCAGTGTTGATAGTATTCTGGGTAACAATGAGAGTCGTCAGGATGACTCTGTGTCGGAGGTCAGGGGTCAAGAGCCGCCCTGCGCGGGATGTGTCGCTGCCCTCTATAGATGCTGTCGAGATGAACCTCCCCTACTGCAGCTGCAATTGCCTTTACCATATGCACATTTGCATCCAGCGTTGAGGCCTACTTCAGGTACTTTTGACATTTAAAATCGTCACTTTCAGCTTATTGAACAAATTCTCATTTTAAAGAGAAATATTTAATTTCGGAATGCTTAATTGGATTCTTCTTGAATTTTCTACAATTCCTACTGTCGTTTTTAGGTAAGACAAAGTTTTAAATATAAGAAGTTTTATTAGAGTTAAAACTTAATCCTAAAGCGAAGTTAGAAAGAATATAAAGCTCAAACCCACTACACGATTCTTCCAACATCTACATAAGTTTTTATAAATTCATTTACATAGCTGTCATACTTTATATATTTTTTTATAGGTATATGTATTTTGTTGAACGCTTTTTTTACAATCAATAAAAAAGGTATTTGATAAGTATATTTATGATATTCTATTTAGTATAAACATTTGACACATTTCTACAATAATTAAGGACAGTTTAAAAATTAAGATATAAGTATTTAAAAATGTATTTGATTCTATGATAAACACTTAACGTAATAAATATTGTTAGGTAACGGCACTTACCACATAACACCAAAAGCTTTTCTAGATATTATAATTAATATTGAATAATAATTAAATAATTAAGAGAGATATTTCAGAAAACTTTTATATTAATTTAAAAAATATTTTAACTAAGTATTGCTTATTTGTTAATTTTATCGATTTATTTATTTTGTCGAATCTATGAGGCCATAATGAAAACCTTGGAGCGTTTGACACTATAAGACAATAAATTTTCTATTTATAATTATATATGATTTAATTTTCTTTTATTATTAATGTCAATATTAAATATCGTCGTGAGTCCTAGAAGTTAAAGGTCTGCTGTCGTGCATGAGGGCGCGGGGTCGAAACCTGGCAAGTGCCAATGTGATTTTTCGAGTCATATGTACTTTCTAAGAGTATTTAGACACCACTAATAGACGGTGAAGAAAAACTTCGTAAGGAAACTTGGACTTATAATTTCAAATTATAAGTTTAAAATCACCAACCCGTCTTGAGCGAGCGTGGTGATTTATGCTCAAAACTTCTCCAAGTGAGAAGTTTAGAAGGCTCTAAGAAGCCTTTGCTCAGCTGTGAGCTCCGATAGGCTGTTGATGATGAAGAATAAATATCAGCTTTCCTAAATAGCTTAGAGGAATACATAAAATCTGAGTATCGTTTTGGGAAATCAGTAAGCACTGTTTATTTTATCTTTTATTTTAGAACATACTTTTAGTATTTTTGTTCGCGCAAAAAACTAGAAATTCCTTTTTAGGGAAAAAAATTATTCATTTTTTGCATATGATTTTGATACTGTTTTAAAATTTTGATACAAAAGCCTTAATTCACATGATAAAATAACATTCCTAAAAAACTAAGAAACTGCTTTTGACTGTCTCTACCTTTACCCACTATAAAAATATTTTTTTAAAAGTATTGTTTCTGGTATGCATAAGACATTAATTGTCGAATAGCTAGGTAATCTTAAATTTATGCGTATCTAGCCACCTACGAATGGCCTTGTTAAAATAATAAACTTAAAGGCTTAAATACAATACTATACTAAACACTTGCTTCTTAGTAGGTACATAAAATAAATGTACCTATAATATTTCGTTATAAAACCAGACATGGGACTTAATAAAAAATAATAATGTAATTTTAGCACTCGTCATCGGCCTATCAGAGCCCACTGCTGAGCAAAGTCCTCTTCTCACATGGAGAAGGTTTGAGCATTAATCACCACGCTTGCTCAAGACGGCTTGGTGATTTTAAAATTATAATTTGAAATTATAAGTCCGGTTTTCCTCACAATGTTTACTTCACCGTCTGTCAGTGATGTCTAAATACTCTTAGAAAGTACATATGACTCGGAAAAATCACATTGGTATTTGCCAGGATCGAACCCTCACCCGCGTGCACGAGAGGTGGGCCTTTAACTACTAGGCCACCACTGACTCTATTGACTGATTTTAGCATAATAATTGGGAATTAGTAAAAACTTAACCACAGGTTTCGTTTTATTTTATCTTTCTTTTAAAAAATAAATAGTAAATGAATATCTTTATAATTTATTATTTGTCATGTCCCAACTATTGCTGTACCTACAGTACTGTATATAATTCTTATAATATATAACCGTAGAGATGTCAGTATTATCTACATAGATCATATTCTTATAAAGTCTGATCAATATTATTTTTTTATCTTTGTGATTTAGAACAATAGTGTACTGTGTAACATGTAATAATTTCCTACATAAGAAAAAGGGCAAGCGGAGTCAACATTGATGTAAATAAAATACATATGGTTATCATTATTAATGATTTATTTCGTAAACAGACATGTATTTTTGTCGTTACATAATATAGACCATAATGCCTTCAGGCATTAAGTCCACCTTTTGTATCTACGTGTGTAGTTAGACAATAAAGTTTTAAAATAAAAAAATAAATAGACATTCTCGGTGTATTTCAATATGAACTGCTTTACATTTTTTATCAAAAAAAAAAAATAACTAACTGCCCAAATAGTTTAGTCATAATCATTGCATACTCCTATTTTTATAGACGGACAATGGTTTAATCAGGCAGGCAGGCAAGCGGCCGGTCGTAAAAATAATTAGCCAAAACTATTTACAACATGCAAGGCAGACCTTATCCAGATTAGAAAGGGCTAAAGCCAGGAAGGAGAAGGAAGCGAGGAATGGTTATGTCGATTATTTTTATGTTTCTTTTGTTTATTAAATGCCTTTTATCCATAAAAAAATCCGTTCCACAATCCAGATTCTGAGTTAAAATCAAAGATACATTTTGATAAACACAAAATATATTTACAAGATCCTTTAAAGTTTTTGATGTGTCTTTGATCTCTAAAGAATTTACAATTAAACTGAGATATGATTTAATTACGGATTGATTACTACTATTACAGAGTACTACAGCGTAGCGTGAAAGCTTTGCTTCTCTAGAGGTTGTTTTACACAAAAAGCCTTCTTTCAACTTCATTATGTTGAATTCTTAGGGCTGTCTATAGTAATAAGTAAAATTGAAGTCTGTTGGTAATTATATTTTATCAGCTTTTAACTTAATACATATTAAATATGTTATATATAACATATATGGTATACCACACCTACTCATATCTCTCTTTTTTTTGGTGGTAGAGCCTAGCTGTGGTCAAGTTCGACTCTCCTTCGATTCGACCCTCGACTGTGGAAGTACCACTCTCTCATAGAAAATCGGCGTGAAGTAGCCTTTAATGGCTGCGTTTCGTTCGATGAATGAGAGAGCCGGTTTCCCTTTTCCCGTCCTTTCCTACCCCTTTCCTTTTTTCTCCTTTTCCCATTTTTTCCTTCCATCTCTTCCCTAATCAAGGGTGGCGACAAATCCGCGACATAAAAAATGATGCGGATGTGCATGGGCGACGCTACTACCTCCATCATGTAGTCCGTCTGCTCGGTTGCCACCTTTTACCAGAAAAATCAAAATACTCTGTTTGCTGCACCTAGTGTGTACACTGTACAGTGTTTGAACTGATTTTAGGGGAATTTCATTCTTAGGTAGGTAATATTTTAAACTGTAGGCACTAAATCTCAATATGGCTAAATGTTTGTATAGTTGTTACATCTTCAGTCAAAAATTAACTTTTTTCTTGCTCCTTCAATTTTAATGTTTACTTTTTATACAAAGGATATTAAGTCCAAACATCAAAATGTTGAAAATGCATATCAGTTAAACAGCAACAGCGAGCTTCCAAAATATAATATTTTCTTTAACTAAAATTAATATACGAATATATTTTTTATTTTCGCTCGTTTTTTAAAATAATGAAGAAATTGTGATAAAATATAAATCCTACAATACCCTTTTCTAGTGTAAATGTTACATGGAACTTAAAAATGAAAAATTCTGATAGATCATCACATCTTATTTTAAATCTTCTTTAAAGTAATAAAAGTTTATGTTACTATACTCGTTTTTCTATGCATTTCTTAATGTATATTATATTGGCACTTTATATATTAATAAAAATATTCGATTGTAATGAGAGAAAAAACAATATTACGAAATTGTTTACTTCTCTCACAACAATATTATGTTTTTAAACGAGAATGGAAAAAGTTTTACATATTTCACTACAAAAATTAGATAACTACTTCCTCACATAATATTTCACTATTGGTTCAATATAAATAACTATTGATTAGTTTCTGAACATCTAAATGGAATTTATTGAAAAAATTAAATAGGTAGGTAGGGTTAAGTACGTTGTTCAAATAGAGAATTCGCATGTGATTTCAAAAGTAACCAAAAACATCATACATAATCTTCATTGATAACAAAATATACTCATATTTTATATATAATCGTGTTTTTATTTTTAAATAAAATTGTTAAGAAGTAGTTTTCAAATCCCATCGCAAGTTTATAAAACACTACACTATTGGTGGATCGAAATAAAATGTTACGGTCACTAATATAAGCTGAACAAAATGTTAGTCCATTGTGCTATGAATTGTTTCAAAATTGTTTCAAAAGCTCATAAAGCAGCTCACTATAAAACATTCTATGGTAGGTTGACTGAAATTATGATGGAGGCACCTATATTAAAAGATATATAGGCTAAGAAAAGAGGTTCACTTCTCCAAAGAAAAGAAAAAAAAGAAAGTGTGTTTTAAAATGAAGCTGAGAAAACTATAGTATATGCTTCACCTGATGGAGTAACTGAAGATGTTATGGAAGTAAAATACCATTTATTTAAAAAGCATTCAATCTATATATTAAAAAAGATTAAAAAAGACAAAGTTTCTTTAAAATACATAGCACATTAACTGCATTATTAGAGAGCAGTACTAAATAATTGTTCTCAGTTTTTAAGTTACTTTAAACGTTCTAAAAACATTATTATTATTGAAGAATAATGCTGTTATGTTCTTTCGTTAGTATGAAATGATAATATTTATGTAGTCACAAAATTTCGGAAATCTGTGAAGCAGACGCTTCGTTGTTTATTATTCCGAGTGTTACGTGACGTCAAAAAATAAGATCGCCAAAATGTCGGCGTTTCGTACGACAGAAATATTTATACATAGTTAAAATTATTTATTTGAAGTTTAATTAATATAATTATAGAATATTTTTAATATATTTACAAAAATCATGCATATTCTCTGTTGTGATGGAATCGAACACTAGAATCTACAAAAAAGGAGAAATCTCATATGAAAAGATTTCATCTAACCGATTAATATATTAAACATGATTTTGATGATAAATATTTATTGTGTAATCCTTTCTTACCTTTATGGGATACTAGTGTTTTCATTCTTTATGAACTTATTTAGTACTAGCTTTCCGCCCGCAGCTTCGCCCGCGTGGAGTTCGGTTATAACGTGTTTCCAAGAGAACCTTTCAAAAGTCTGGGATAAAAACTATCCTATATTCTCTCTCAAGGTCAACTCTATCTCTGTACCAAATTTCATTAAAATCAGTTCTGTAGTTTAGGTGTGAAAGCTTAAGACAGACAGAGTTACTTTCGCATTTATAATATTAGTAGGGATAAATAAATAAACGCCGTTGAATGCATGTCAAACAAACAAATAAATGGAGGAATGATCTGATTTATATGTTTTAATCAATATTGCAACTTCAGTTTTAAAATTATTATTTATTTGCTTTTCCAGACCATTTTTTTCAATACACTAGGTACATTGTTTGTATACAAAAGAAAATGAATAGTTAAAATAAATACATGCAATAATTAGAAAATTGAAACTGTTGCACTTGAACACTTAGTATTTATTAAAAACAAAATTTAGAGGAAAATGCGTAAATGATATAATCGTTTTTTTAAATGGCTCATCATTTCGTCTCAACCAAACTCATATAATAACTTTTGTTGCACTAAAATTTTGTTTTTAAATTTCAAATATTTTATTTGATCCAGTTTCTACATATAGCTATCTTCTTCTTCTTCTACCTGGCAATTTCCCTGCTCAAGCCAGGGTCTGCCTTACATGTTGTGAATAGTTTTGGCTAATTGTTTTTATGACCAGCCGCCTGCCTGACCTCAACCCTCTTTTGGGAATGCATTTCAGTGATGTCTAAATACTCTTAGAAAGTACATATGACTCGGAAAAATCACATTGGTACTTGCCCAGGCCAGGATCGAACACGCGCCCTCGAGCATAAGAGGCGGGCCTGTTAATCACTAGGCCACCACTGAATTATAGCTACATATATGTGAACGGTATAATTACATTGAATTAGTAACTACATATATCTTAAGTTAATTATTTATATTTCAGCTGTCTATCGCTTGCCTCTACCTACATCGTCTCCAACACAATCATCGACGCCGCGTTGTGACGTGTCGTCGAGCGGTAAAAGAAAACGCTCGTGGTCGCGAGCTGTTTTTAGTAACCTCCAGAGAAAAGGCCTGGAAAGACGGTTTCAAATACAAAAATACATTACCAAGCCCGATAGGCGACAGCTAGCAGCTACCCTCGGCCTCACTGATGCTCAGGTATGACAATTTAACTTATTTTTATAGCACGAAAATAAATGTGAATAAAACACATAGATACTTTTACGTTATATCGCGCTTCCAAGAGAACCTTTCAAAAGTCTAGGATAAAAGCTATCCTATGTTCTTTCTCGAGGTCAACTCTATGTCTGTACCAAATTTCATTAAAATCAGTTCAGTAGTTTAGGCGTGAAAGCGTAACAAACAGATAGACAGATAGACAGAGTTACTTACGCATTTATAATATTAGTAGGGATGTATATCCATAATTCAGCCAGTACATAAGATAATTTATTTTTAGTATATATGGATAAGTTATCGACAAAAATAGTACATAATTAATTATTTGAGAAATACTAAAGCAAATCGTTTTGTCCTCTTTTGTGTTTTGAGATTCATCTGTGAATAGTGATGTCTGGAAGATATTTTTATAAATTGAGTAATTGCTGTTCTTAAATACTTTCTGGTTCATTAACAACCACTGTAATCAGTGATGTCAGCTGTGTAATAAATTCAGAAGACTAATCATATACATATATTATTTTCTTTGTTCTAATTCAAATTAGTTTATTTTTAGTGTGTCTGTATATTATATCATCGGACTTCCGACGAATGTTTTATAAATAGGAATATTTAAAAATTGTATTGTTCTTTTGTAAATCTAAGTTTTTGTACTAAAGTAATTTCATCTTTATTTTTCATAACATTCTGTAAATGGTTGGTTGGATGTTTTAAATATGGCCTTCATCAATGCAGAGATCTGCACAGTATATTCTGCCAGTGTCGAGTAGAATGAAAAAACAATATCCGGGATTTACTTATTTATGAATTATTTCTTTTTGAATATATATGTTGATTCATTTCTATTTATTTTATTATTTCTTTAAATTCAGGTGAAAGTGTGGTTTCAAAATCGTCGTATGAAATGGCGTCACACGAAGGAAGGTCGCGGTTTGGCGGGAACGAGAGACACAGACACCGCGATCAATGAAGACAACGAAGACGTCGATGTTGATACTCTTAGCGACTAATATTAAGTTTATTTAGAAATAAAATAATCGGTACTTTTAGATAAATAGCTAATTAGAAAAATATATATTGTCAAGAACATTGGCTGTTTACTTTTTGACAGTTCGATAATATTTTTAAATGTACTTGCTTAGGCACTGCATATTCTACATATAATGTGAACAATACAGATAATAATTTATAATAAATCTAATTAATGACAGACAAAATCGTGAAGCGTTGTACATTTTTAAGGGTTGAACTTATTGGACCCACTCTCCGGCAACGCTCTCAAAACCAATAAGGATAATAGCAACAGTCGAGTGGAAAATATGTATTTATTGTTGAAGGAAAATTCGTCTTAGGTAGAATATTAGTAAAATATGTATATTGATATACAATTTCTATACTTTGTTTTTCGGTAATAAGTAAAAAATAGACATATGTCTATCTATAGTCTTATAATCTTTTAACTGTAATTAAATAATATATACTTTGTAAAGCTTTAAAACCAAAATCGATGGAAACTGAGAAATAATTTTAGGTATTCATATTATACGTGAAAACTAGTATTAAGTCATAATTATAACGTTAAACATAAGTAAAATGTAAAAATTTATTATTGTTAAATAAATGTATAAATTGTACAGATTATATAAATGACAAGTCATTATTGGAATAAAAGTTTATTATATTGTCTTATCTAGTTACAATATAAACAACACACTAGTTTGGCGTTTCATTTATTTTAGTAATCTACAAGTTTCACTTTGTTTCTATAGCTAGATTCTCTGTCGTCATCTCGATTCTTGCTCGAGTTCCCGTCACCGTAATAATCGTTTTTCCTCTCACTGCTTCTATACCCACCCCTTTTACCGTACGGTCGCCTCCAACTATTCTGTACTCTATCCTCATAGTTATCATATCTATTATAATCGTTATAATTCCTATATTCTCTGTTCTGCCGACTGTACCTATTCTGATATGTCTCTTCATCATATTTCCGACTGTCCCTATAATCGTCCTGTTCAGAATGTTCTCTAGAGTTGTGATAACGTTTCCTCGTTGTATAATTCGATGTTTCTCCGTCGTATTTCGATCTGAACGGCGACATTTTAGTGTCCCAAACTTGTATGGGCTTGTCTTCTGGTGGTTTGCTTTTAGAGCGGCTCCTTTCTTTTCTATTTTCACTGATAGATTTTCTGTAGGACAAATATAATTAATCAGATGAATAAATAAGTTAAAAAATGAGTTACGATGCGGTTCAGTTTAAATAAGAGCATAACCTGATAGCTATAGCTTTGTTTAGTTGGTAAGGTATTAATTGAATTTTTTTAATCTTTTCGCGAAGATAGAAGTTATATATAACTTATATTATTGCAACTTGAAATTCTCTAAATGTTCTAAGAAGTATGTGACATATATTTTTAATATTACATATATCAATTGTCTTCTATAGAATGGATTTTTATTTTAGATTTTCTTAAATTCCTTTATGTTTTTAAGAATATTATTCAATAAATAGTGTTTCATTTAAATGAAACTAATATTAATGTCTGCCCGTGATCAAGGTTACTGAAAAGTAACCGAAAAGACGAGAGTATGTCGTGTTTTTCTTTAATAAAATACGTGTAGTAATCCGAATAATATTAGTTTCATTAAAATGAATACTCGCGCTAGTCTTAGATCTCAGATAGTGTTTCAAGTTACCTCGAAGATGTTTCACTTCCACTCTTATCTGAATCGTCTTCGTCACTGGAACGCCGATATTGTTGGTGTCTCATCTCACGCTGCCTGAAAATGTTATATAGGTTTTTAAATCAAATTGGAACAATAATAAAATGAAAAAATATAATTTAATATAATTTTCTTGGTGGAAAATGACATACTATATCGTCTTTCTAATGGCCTAAAACGTAAGTGGAATGTTATGATAAGTTTAACAATGTTTTATTGATATTATTATTGTTTTATAAGGAAACAAATACTTTATCGCGAACCAAGTCCAAATGTAAAATTTATACACTGCATAAAGTCTTTGGCAGGATCGGTTTGCAAGATTGCAATAGTGTATGCATGTGTTTATGATGTCAACTATGTACAAGTTTAAGTAATTTTAAAAGGTTCAACTGTGTGTGTCTAAACACGCGCCTGTGTGTCTCTGAGTGTGTACGTATGTGTGTGAGTCTCTGTGTATATGTCTCTTTGTGTATGTATGTGTGTGTGTCTCTCTCTGTGTATGTATGTATGTGTGTGTCTCTGTGTACGAGGGTCAAACTGAAAGTTCTTAGAACTGGCCACTTATAAACAATATAATAAAAAAATAATTGTAAAATTTGATAATTGAACTCTTTGCCAATATACTGAGTATATATTTCAAAAATTTGTCATTTGTTTTACGATTTGGCTTCAAATTAAAAATTGTCTCTGTCACGTCAGTTTAAACGTGGTCGCACTAATCTCAATGATGATTTACGTGCGGGACGGCCTTCTACGGCGACGACTGAAGATAACATCTGTGTTGTGCGGCGTATGATAGAGACTGACAAAAGAGTGACCTATCAGCAGATTCGGACAAGCTTAGGCATCGGTATGAGTCAAGTGTACAAAATCCTCCACGAACATTTAGCGGTCAGGAAGCTTTGCGCCCGGTGGATACCTCATAATTTGACTGAGGCTCAAAAACTCCATCGTGTGGATTGGTGCCGTAAAATGATTGAAAGATTTAATGGAGGTGACTCAAATGCTGTGTTCGACATACTAAGAGGTGACGAAAGCTGGATTTACTGTTATGATCCTGAAACCAAAAGACAATCTGCTCAGTGGGTGTGTCCTTTCGAGGAGTTGCCAACTAAAGTGAAGAGAGATCAAAGTCCGGGAAAAAAAATGGTGGCCTCGTTCTTTGGAAGGATAGGTCATTTCGCAACAATTGTGTTAGAGGATCAAAAAACAGTTTCTGCAGAATGGTACACTACCAATTGTTTGCCACTTGTCTTGGAAAAAGTTCGAGAGAAACGACCTCGCAGTAGGATCCTCCTTTACCACGACAACGCCTCGTCGCACACCGCCAAGCGAACGATCGACTATTTGGCGACATCAAACGTTGAATTACTGGGTCACCCGCCGTATAGCCCCGACCTCGCGCCTTGTGATTTTTATTTATTTCCAAAAATTTAAGAAAATCTTAAAGGAAAGCGGTTTATGAATGCTGAAGAAGCGGTGGCTGCGTATCGCGATGCCATTGAAGAGACCCCTAAGGACGAGTGGGCAAAGGGCTTTTCCCAGTGATTCCATCGCATGCAGCGGTGTATTGACGTGAATGGACAATATTTTGAAAAGATATAATAAAACTAATATGTAACTGACTAATGTAATCAGTTTTTGATTTTCTAAGAACTTTCAGTTTGACCCTCGTATGTATGTATTTGTGTGTTCATCTTACTTCCTCCTCAGTTTAATAGCCAGGTCTCTCATCTCCTGGTCTCTCCTCGCCTGTCGTCGACTCTCTCTCTCCACTCGAGCAGCCTCAGCCCGCTTGTCTGCACGCACTGAAACATATATAATATATCTTATACAAACTCATAATAAAAACACTCAGGTTATGTACAGACAATTTATATATTTTTATGCTTATTATAATAATTTATTTTATACTTGAGAATGTTTATAATAATGATATAAGCACCACAAATAAATATTTTTCATTGTTTCCAATTCCATCTAAATAGAGTGTGTATTTGTTAATACAGTAGGACCTCGATTATCCGGACTAATCGTTGTCGGTAGGCATCCGGATAATCTAATATATGAAGAAAAACGGGCTTTTTGCATATGTACATATGTAGTCTGTACCATACATATGTAATGTTAGGTGTTTATTTAAAACAACAAATACGTATGAGCGAGAATCAACGAAAATCACGAACGGCACGAGTGGCGTGGCGTTATGCAAGTCCTGACATGTTAATCTATAGTATAGATTCTATACTAATATTATAAAGCTGAAGAGTTTGTTTGTTTGTTTGAAAGCGCTAATCTCTGAAACTACTGGTTCGAATTGAATAATTATTTCTGTCTTGGATAGTCCAGTTATCGAGGAAGGCTGTGGGCTATATAACATCACGCTACGACCAATAGGAGCAAAGATATAATGGTAAATGTGTAAAAAACGGGAGAAATTATTTCATCTTTGAAGCCTTCCATTGCGTGCGCCGTGAAAACGGTTCAAGATACACAAAAAATATGTACTAAAGAATAATAAATAGCTCTTTTAATGATCTAAAAAACAGTCCGCGATAGTATATGTCTATCTTTCAAGATTAACTCACAAAAACCGTTTTTATGGTATCTAATTTGGTCGAAATAATTTGTTTAAGTTGTATCAACATAACAATATTAATCTTTATTCAAATAAACAAATAAATATGTTGTTGGTTAAGAGTACTTCATTGTGAATTAAAAAAAACATAGGTTTTATCCTGAAAATTCTACGGGAACTCGACCATTCCGAAAACCCCGCAAGAACGGGAACTATGTGGGAAGAACCAAAAATCTGAGGGAAGTCACTATTCCACGCGGACGAAGTCGCGGCAAAAGCTAGTGTTAGAATAAACTCGTCGCGATTGGCAGTCCGGATAATCGCGAATTCGGATAACCGAGGTCCGGATAATCGGGGTCCTACTGTACTATCATATACATGTAAAATGTAAATGAAGTACATATTTAAAACTCACACTGCCTTGATAACTGTGCCTGCATTTTCCTTTTTAATTTCTCCTTCATACTTAACGCTTCCCTCGACAATCCCTGTAACATAGGATTATTTTAATTCACTGCATACATTTCAAAGCTGCCTCTTCACTGAGAACAACTTTAGTTATGACACAACATTTATACAAACATGCAAATAAATAAAAACTAAAAATCACATTGAATACTTTAAGCAACACAATGTATAAAAGACACCAGCGAGCTCTATATTAAAGTGTTTGAAATAAGTTTGGTCCAGAAAACTTAAATTCATTATATTTTCATGATTTAAAAAAAATATTAAAATTTGCATGAATAAAACCGAAATAATTTCGTTTTATTTATGCATATATGGAATACGTAGATAAATAAATTTATAATCTAAGCAGCACTTTTCTAGAAAATATTATGAGAAAAATTATGTATTAAGTTCTTACTATAAAAAAAAATATTAAATTTTTTTAAACAAAAATATTGATTTATAGGGAACCGTTTATATCGACATATATGTACTGTAAGTTTGATGTGCATTTATAAATTTAATATATTTTATATTTTCTGCAACCAAAGACAGCATCTGTATGTATGCCCCAATGAAGATAACTCCATTCTGTAATCTACATTTTTAACTAGTGCTAATGTAAGCATACAATTTAATAATAAAATGATTCTTACTGACTTTGGAGCTGGATCCAGTTAATCGTAACTGATTCTGGTTCGGGTTTGATTTGCCACCCGCTGACCTGGAAAATAAATATTGAACATTATAACATGATATATGTACATACAATACTTCTTAAACATCATGGGTCAATATAAGATAGTCAGACTAAGAAAACGTCATTTAATTTTTTATGTTAAAATATTTCAAGATAAACTTACGAAATTATGGATAGAAAGGATAAGAAATACTTCATTTACCAAACTATATTGAATTTGATCAAGGAAGAACAACGTTAGCGAAAGAAAACGTCATTTTATTATTGTTAAAACATTCATAGTTTATCTTAGGAAACTATGGATAGCAAAATATAAGAAACACTTTGTATATGTACTGAACAACATTGAGTCTGTTTGAAGAATTTATAAAGAGGAATTCTAGAAAAAAAAAAGATTTTCGTTGTGTCTCATAAATGTTATAACACTATGCTAACTATAATATAATATTTCTGTTATAACTTCAAAGTATGTATATATTTTATTAAAAGTAAATTATGTTGCGATTTATGGATGTAGTTATAAGACTCAGGTTCATGTGATTAAAAACATAGCTCTCATACACCTTATAAAAAAATATGCAATTAATTGTTAATTAGGATAATCAAAACACCTTGATTCACAAAGACATACTTTTCATTCATATAAATTACTATGACTATAAAATATGATTGGATTCCAATGTATCGAAGTATTTTGTGATTTAAATATATTAAATAATAGGTACTCACTTATTGTTTTCATCTGAATCACTTGTGTCTGAATCAAGTGATAGTTCACTTGATGATTTATCTTCTTTCCTTCGTCCATAGTAGCGCGGCACGGGCTTACTTTGAGGCTGATTTTTATCATTACTGTAATATTAAATTAATAAATAATTGAAATATATGTACAAATAAATCTTATGCTTATATTGAATTTAATTATAAGCGAGAAAAGGAATGGGATTTTTTTTTTAGGATAGATTTATATAAGAAACTTACCACAAGGGTAAATTATTAAGACGCTTACCTTTCAAACGACAAGGATCTGGATCTATTACGATTTGTATAACTTGCGTGGCTGTGGATAGCATAATATAGAATTATTGAACTATTATAAATAAACATATATAACAAATTTATAGTTATGTAACATATAATAAAACTAAGGTCAGTAACCCACATATATATCACAAATTAATATACATATATCCATATATTATTAGTTGAAAGTAATCAAAAAGTTTCACATATAAGTTTCCTTTTAGTATAAAACAAATGTACCAACTTCGAGACACTCCTCGATCTTCTTCTATAATTCCTAGACTTTGACCGCGAGCGTGATCTCGAGTGTGTCTTCCTGTACGAGTGATAGGACCTCGACCTTGACCTCGACCTCGAGGCCCTCGAACGTGAAGCGGACCTCGACTTGCGAGATGAACGGGACCGGGAGCGAGAACGGGACCGGGACCGGGATCGAGACCGAGACCGGGATTGGGATTGCAAACGAGGACCGATTGGCGCACCGAATGACGATGATCTGAAATTATTGTCAATATTACATAATATATTTATTTATTTGTATGTATAGTCAAATGAATTCTTGTAATTTATATTTCGAGTTATATACATTTTATAGTCCGTTAAATATCGCTACATTTTCTATATATATAAAAGAAAGTCGTGTTAGTTACTCCACTTATAACTCAGGAACGGCTGAACCGATTTAGCTGAAAATTGGCGGGGACTTAGTTTAGAGTCAGGAAAATGCAATAGGATACTTTTTATCCCGTTCGACAGCATTCCTGTGGGACTTGACATGAAACGTCAGTCACTATAAAACGTGGAATAACGAAACACAGCTATGCTAATGATGTATAATGACAGATATGTAATGACGTAATGATGACAATTAGATATTTGTAAGAGATCTTCTACTATATAAAAATAAGTCCGGTTTTCTATCCTGACGCTATACTTCAGAACGAACGAACCAATTTCCACGGAATTCGATGGAAAGGTCTCGGGCTCCGTGAGGTTTATAACAAAAAAATTCACCAGAAAAGCGGGAAAATCTTTTTTCACATACAGCGCCATCATACATAACATGTACTACAAATCAATATTTTAAGTAAATGGTGCCGGTGCATGATACATTGGTTGAGAGCTACTCATTGTTCTCTGCTCAGTTAATTTCATGTGACAAACAGATATTGTGTTTGTTGTTTGAACTCTTAAAACCATTCAGTATTTGCGGGATAAATTTAGAAAATCATTGTTTTTCACATGGGCAGTTATATTTTGCGTGTTCACGAGTTTGGAAACCATCCGCTTTATTTGTGTTAAAGTTAGACCAAAAAACAAAAAATGTGGTTTACAAAGGAGAACTTCAATGAAACGCATAATTTGCGGACACGTATAACACTTCGATTCTGTATCTACTTTGGATTCACTTTCATTTACTTAGAGAAGTTCAACTAAATAACACTTTATTTTTGTAATTTTCATCTTTTAATCACCAAACGAAATGTTATATAAAAGCTTTCTGGTGGCGAAACGGAGTTCGCCGGGTTTACTAGTATTTTTATAATACATAATTTTGAAAAAAAAAAAAATATCTTACGTTTTAGATTTCTTAACTACTTCAGAGTAGGACATTCCTTTCTTTAAATTTTGCTTCACCTTGTCGGCGTACAACGGCTTGTTTGGTAATGCTGTAAATGACAACGAATATTTTTAGAATTTAAAACTTAAAAAAGATGCATATTTGATGAAAAGAAACACGACAAAAATGAAAACAAAAATGGACAAATATATTCGGCACACTTTCAGGTGTATATGATGTATATACTGGTGTGTATGGCTATCCTAATAATATTATAATTGCGAAAGTTTGTGAGTGTGTGTGTATGTTTGTTACTTCTTCACGCTCAAGCGGCTGAACCGATTTTGATAAAATTTTGTATACAGCAAGCTGACGTCCAGAAATAACACATAGGTAGGGAATGCAATCTCGATCTCGCCTTATTTTTCGAGATTAATCTCGAAGCATAAAATGACAAGATGTCGGCCGAGATTGAATGGCAGCAGTCAGGGACGCATTACGCTCGCAATTTACGCATGTGTTCGTTCGCGCTGACTGCCAACAGAGATTGACGGACGAAGGAGCGCCGGATCGCGAATGCAATCTATTATTTTTGTACTCTAACATAGGTTCAACTTAAGTCTACGGATAAGTAGTTACTGTAACCATTTACTACATTTATGATCCATGCTCTTAAATGAAAAATAAGAACGGCTTACTGCGCAATAAAGAGTCTATTTGTTATTTAAATTCTTTACCGTGAGAGATATTGTTAATTTTTATATCTTTATAAACCAAAGACTGGTAATTTTAATTTCTAAAACTTAATTGTGATTCGTATGTTCATTAATGGCTTAATTATTATTAATAGTAAATGATTACTAAATAAATGAGCGTTTTATTTTCCAATTCGTTCTGTATCTTACTCTCGTAATAAAGAAAACTAAGCTGTTTTCTTTGCGATTTCTTTTTTAGGAAAAACGATATTTTTTTAAATTTCATCCGAGATCTCGCGAGATTGACATTTATAATCTCGCGAGATCTCGAATTTGCGATCTCGCCTCGAGATTGCATTCCCTACACATAGGCTACTTTACATCCCGTAAATCCGCGGCTAACACCGCGGGGCGCAGCTAGTAGACATATGAGAGTGTAGTTAAGTATATTATATGTACGGACGTGCGTTATCATCGTCTTCCGGTCCAAAGGATGTAATGAACTGTATGTTTGTATTGTCGGGTGACGGAGTGCGTGAACGGCTGCGGCTCGGCGAGCGGGAAGGGGCGGCTGGCAAGGAGGGGGCGGCCGCGTAGCTGGGGGGACTCACTACACGAGTCGCTAGCTTCTTGTCCCTGGAATTATAAACATATGTATAGAATAAAACTATTAAGGCAATGTTAATCTTCTTCTACCTGGCAATTTCCCGGCTATAGCCAGGGTCTGCCTTACATGTTGTGAATAGTTTTGGCTAATTGTTTTCACGACCGGCCCGCCTGCCTGACATCAACCCTCTTTTGGGAATCAGCATTAATCAGTGATGTCTAAATATTCTTAGAGTACATGTGACTCGGATAAATCACATAGGTACTTGCCCGGGCCAGGATCGAAACCGCGCTCTCGGCAACGAGAGGCGGGCCCTCTAACCATTAGGCCACCACTGACTATTAAAGTAATGTTAATATTTTAATTAAATACTAATATAGATAATGTAGAATGGAAAGTAAAATGGAAGATAAACTATAGTGCCCTGACTCAAGTCAGTGAAATCAGCAGGTTATTGGTATTGTTATATCATTATACAAATACATTGTATGCATAATATTATTTTTTAAATAAATCCCCATTGACATTTATAATTAATGAAAGCATTTTAAAGATATCCACAACTTTTTAAAATAGTTATTTAGATTATTGTACTTGGTTCTGGTATTGATTATTCATAATAATTGGTCAACTAATTTTAAAACCAAGTTTCTTGTTAAAGGATAAGAAGGATAAGCTGTTAGCTGACATACATTTAAGATATACATATTATGTATTTTTTATTTAGATATAAGGTAAAAATCCGTAAATATTTTAGAATTAACTAATGTATTTCCTAGTATATAACGCATATAGTATTTTTCTTTTGTATTACTTGGATATTTAACTTAATTTATTACAATATGCACTATTTTAATTATTTATTAATATACTAACCTATGCGCGCGTCTTTCTCTCCTGCTTTTTCTCCCTGAAAACATAGCTTTTTCTTTCTCTTCCCGAAGCAATTGTTTTTGATGTTCAGCGTCATCGGCATCTCCAGTGAGGAATGAGAATAGATCGCAGCCCGCCATACCATATTGCGGTCCAACGGCATTCAACTCGTGAGCCTACACTCAACAGTTAAGCAGTGTTATTGACAAAGTGATAAATTCTTGTTGGAAAACATGTAAAAAGAAAAAAGATAGTATTTTTGTTGTTATATCATGGAATAGTGAAATAAGAATTAAAAGTAAATATAGTGTTTTGATTTTAAGATATGAGGCACAAGTAATACAAAAAGAAAAAAGAATGTAGCGAACCTTGATAGAGAGATGATTAAAAATGTAAGAAATATAGTCATACATACTTATATTTAAGTTATAGTAATAGAATAATCGGATGTCTTTGATTTTAGATTAATGCAATAAAATTATACAGAAGGAGCAATTTTGTTATCTGTTAACATATTTCCTAAAAAACCATATTTTACAAATAAAATATTAAAATATATCATGCATAAAACAAATTAAAAATAAATATATATTTAAGCTTTTCCTGAACCACCTTTATGCTTTATGTAGGGAAATTTATAATTTTAATATAATGATAGTAAAAATCATAATAAACTATATATACATAAATATTATTATTACAATGAGTTTTTCTTTGACAAAAAAGTATTTTAATAAAAGAGTTAGGTATTTAAGATTTATTAATGAAAGTTAAGAAATTATAAATATAATAATTCCTACCTGTGAAGCATCCATTTTATTGACATCAATGCTGAGATCCACATCAATGATCTCGAGGTCCGAGTCATCATCGGACTCCTTTGAATCCGCCTTCTTCATCTCTGGGCCTGTAATTAACACTGAATGCCATAAAATAACTCCAAATTTGAACAGCCGCCACTGATACCCAAAACGTTAATCTTCATCCAACTGGTTTAAGAAATGCTGAATCTACCGTTAGAGGTTGACGGTTGGGCAGTTGGATCGTTATAATTGTATCCAATAGCAGCACCGATCCCTTTCTTTTCACTTAACTTCTCCCTTTGCATCTCTTTTTCTTCGATGGTAACACCAAACTGCTCCTCAATGGCCAGTTGCTGTAGAAATTTGTCCTCACCTACAAATATTTGACAATAAATAATTAACATCAATCTAGATGAGTATATAAAATGTTTCAAGATTATACAATATCTTAATGAAATATAAGGAATCAAAATATATGAATGATTTTATTAGATTTGTGTTAAATTAAAAGTTTACTCACTTATGCCTAAAAAGGCATTTTGTGCTAGAATCCTATATCTTTCATAATTGCATTGTCTTTCCTCTTGATTGAGGTCTTCGGGTGGTATATAGGGCGCCTTAACCTCAGATATAATATCCAGATGTGCGCGAACATCAAAACGGTCAATCATATTATTAGTATCACCTTGCCACGGCATCCTGATGGGGGTTTACATAAATATTATTAATAATTACAACAGAGAAATCTTAAAAGATACAAGAATGAAGATGGACATTATTAATATTGTTAAATTAGCTACATACATAATAGCTGGCCCTTCCCCAGCCGCTGCTACTGCCGGGTCCAAATGTATTTTACATTGTCTTCCATGCAGTTGCAAAAATTGGGTTGGTTCTGCTTTCTACGACAATAACAATTAAGTGAACCCAAATAACAAGTTTTAATATTATTATATAAGGTATGAAATAATGAAAATCTTTAAAATTAATAACTCCAATAAATTAATAACAAAAACTTACAATCTTTTCATAAAAATCCTTACGACGTTCAGCTCTGCGACGATAATCTACAATCATTCCACGAATCATACGTTCTTGTTTTCTTGCTTCGTGCCACATTTCTATGTATGTTACTAACCACTTAGAAATGAAATAAAATATACCGTAATTTCTTAAACTCTACATGGGTACACAATTACAGTCAAGCTTCTTTCGCTGTCGCCATTTTTTTTTCCACTTCGGACTTCAGAGACGTACCTATTTTTTAACACTGACAATGTTGCCACTTTTTTGTTTAAAACGTTAATACACAGCAATTTATAAATTACTTATTTAAAACAATTAAATTTACTATAGCCAAACAAAGTATCAACTACAAATAAAACGTAACTAAAATTTTAACCAAGAACATAATGGTTTTTTCTATACTATTTACTTATTAGTATTAGTTACTGTTGTAATAGTCATCGTTTCTAATTGGGAAATATATATAGTAGCAAAAATATACAAACTGTGATGTTATTTTTTCGTTACATCTTTCAAATTTTAAGTAAACCATCATTTTAGATTTAATTCAGAAAACCTTACATTATGATAAAATATCTTTCAGTAACAAAACTTAATCCATTTTTTTTACAAATTTTCTAAATATTTACAGAGATAATATCAAATGTTTTGAATTGGAAGTTCTAATACAAGTCATAGAAAATTTATAATTTGAATTTTATACAAAAAAAAATTTAGTTAAATCATGTTTTCCAAAAGTTTTATTATCTGAAACATAACGATAAGTTTTTTGGAAGGAATTGGCAAATAGTTAAATAATAATAATAAATAAAAATATTCTTTATGAAAACAATTAATTTATTGAATATAGATATAGTTCACTGTAATCTTCAACTTCAAAGAATATTTCATTGTCCAATTGAAAAGGCTTGCATATTGTCAACCAGTCCATAAATTCTTCATAAATATCTAAATAGCCTAAGGTTTCTGCCATACTTCTGTTAGCAACCAAATAGCACCCTTTTTTTATGTGTTTCTTAAAGAAGAACCACATCTCTTTATGTTTGTCTACATCAACAAAAAAGTCTAAAACATTTATAACAATAATATCAGCAGATTGAACAATATCTTCTCGAGTCATGACATCCGCATGTATTACTTCTATTCTTTCTTTTTGCATAGAAAATTTATTTATAGCAGCTTCCTGCACATCACAAAACTCTTTATTTATTTCAATGCCAACAATTTTTGATGCATTGGAAAAATTATAAGCCTGAAATGAAGAATAATTTAGTTGAAAATTTTCAATAACACCTTCTATTAGCATAATATGCTTTACATACACCATATAAAACAGCCCCCAATCTTGAGCCTATATCTACAAGTTGTTTGTTTTCTAAGTCCTTTGGTAACAAAACATGAAATATGTACTGCAAAGCCCTTCTTGACATAGAGTGAGAGATGTATGTTAGTTCCTGTAAAATTTAATAATAAATTTATATTTAAGATAGAAAATATAATTTTCATGTTAAACATTTTTAGTACGATCTTTGCAGTTGTTTTAAATATACAAATAAAATGTTTAACATACATAAAATTCTACAATTATGAACAAACAAAGCCGATGTGTATTTCTTCAGCAATTCTAATATAGATAGACCACATGCAACTAGATTACATATACAGGGTGACTGGTGAATTACTATCAATATTTAAGGAGAATACTCGGTTCATGATTCTCATTTGAATTATGTAAAAAAAAATAGGCACTTAATTTTTGACAAAATTTCCGTATAAATAAATAAAGTGTTGACACGTTCCAAGTGTTAAAGTGTGGACGCGTGCGGCGGCGTGCTGATACAACACTACGTCACGACACGCGTATGTGTGAGTGTGAGTGTATACCTAATCTGTAGGGTGCTCACACGATGCGTAATTAATTACATAACTTTTGGTTAACTTTACTTAGTAGTTTATTAATATTTATGTTATATTAATTTTTATTTTGTCATATATGATCGTCAAATATCATGTCCTCAAATATCGATAGTAATTCACCAGTCACCCTGTATATTCTATGTTGTGTGTAAAAGCTATAAGGTTTAATGACTCTTTTATGTTAAAATACTAATTATATCATTTATATAATTAATTATAATATTTCAAATCACCTTCACATTCCTAGAGTTGCAATCTAAACAATAATGCCTGTTAACTTTTCCTTTTTTCACCAGATCTTCAACTTGATTTTCGTCATACAGGAACTCATCAATATGACAAGTATTGTTTTTATTGCAATCAGCCTGATCTCCAACAACTGGTGGTGATATACTTTCCGTAGCCATTTCAGCTTCAAATGGGATAAGTTTATTGATGTAATCACCAATTTTTTTCAGTTTCTTTTCACCTTTAAGTAATGATTTTTTCTTTTCCAAGTCTGAAAAATTTATTATTATTTTTCTTTGCCTTATAAGTTCCACAATATTACTATTGTATAGTGTTTTAAGTAGTAATATAACAAACTAGAGAAAACTACTTTTACAGATTTATCATAATTATTATATTATATTATATTAATAAAATAAACATAGCATCAGTAATAAAAAGATGAATGTAACCTGTAATAACTTCACCTTTTTTATAAGCCTGTGAAGAAATCCATTTTTCAATGTTTTCCAATTCAGAATTATCATAATTTGCGAATATCTCTAATAACCTACATTTAGCGGTAATGAAACCATCATCTGACATTTTGCTAAATTATTATAGGACACTCATATAATTTAAGATATAATGTTGTATAATAGTTATAATGTTTCTTTCTTATTTAAATAAATCTATAACTTTGAAGCAACCTAACACACATGCTGTACAATTTACCAAAATATGCCAAATTTCAAAATACAAAGCACTTCTTGTCATCTGTCAGTCATCTATAGTCAGTTTTAGATAATGTTTGTTGGAATTTGGATATCAGTTATCATGGCATATATTATATTTTATATTAAAAACTATACAAAATTTTCTTATTAAACGCGACTTAATTCGTTGTAATGACGAGGCTTATTATTGTGTTTTTAATAAATTCCTACAGCATATTTAAGTAAAATAAACATATACAACTTTGAAGATAGTTAAAAAGTTATAATATTCTCATAGACTTATTACAACGTTTCTAAGAAGTATATGAGTGATAATTTTTTAAATGGGAGGTAGTTTATAAATGCCTTTTTGTTTCTATAGACAGAAACATTTACATTGTTATTGTAAAAGTAAGTAATATACCACTATTAAATAAAAGTCGTATAGTAAACACTCGTAATTAAAGTGTATATCGATTGCTATAATATACGAAAAATAACAATTTTATTAAATACTAGTTTACTAATGCGGAAAATATTAGTTTTATAACTATAAAAATTTTGGTATATTGTGATCCTATTTCGTATTAAACGATAACATTTTTGTGTTAATGAGGTTTAAAAACTCTGTAATTATAACTATTTATCTGGTATTTGATCATATTTCTAAATTAGCATATAAATTAATTCATTAAGTAGCGAATGGACAGATAGTGCCGTAGTAGGTTATTATTTTGAATTTAATTTGAATTATGACAAATTGAAATTGACAGTGCGTATCATCGTGTGTGTCGTTAACTCTTGTAGCATGTACCTACATCAAAACAACAAGAATTATACATTTAAAAATATTTACTTACATTATAAAATAATTATAAATAAGATATTAATCATTAATATTACCAGTGATTTTACTGACGTCAATCTGTGACCTCGTTTGGATCAAAATAAATAAGACTTACAATGTTTCGGCATTTTAATTTACTTGGAAAACTATTTGCAGATAAGTTTAAGAGTTTTTAGATCCGATTAGATTTTCTTATAAGAAGAGCATTTGTAAATAATTGCAATAAAAATCCTATCGGACGGGTTTATTGAAGAGTGAATCATACGAGAACTAAAATGGGTGACAGTTCAAGTACCGGAAAAAATATTGGAATATGGATATCCGATAAGAAAAGTCACAAACTCAATTGGAAGGAGTTAATAAAAACATGTAATGCACATGGATACAATATTGTTAAGGTAGAGTGGGATAAATATAATGTTACACTATAGAAGTTATATAGTTGTAACAGTATAATTCATTGGTAGTAAAATTATTAATGATTTTATAAGTCATTTAAAAAATATTTTGCAGTTTGATTTGGATATTCCTTTCGAAGACCAAGGTAGAATAGATATATTTCTTCATAAATTGACAGATGTGATTGCAGCTGCTGATCAAGGTGATGTTAAGGTAAACTTTTATTGTAGTTGTTTTTCTTTGAAATAATTGTTTGTAACTTTTTTCATGAAACTTATCCTTGAAACTTGAGAAGAAAAAGATATTCATTCTGCTTTAAGTGCTTTTTTTGTGCAGTGTATTTAATTGTTATAAATAATATTTTTCAGGCATCTATTATCATAGGAAGAGTGGAGCAGTATTTATCCAACCATCCACACATCACTGTTATTGATCCTCTAAATAATGTGCGCCTTCTCTTGAACAGGTTATATTAATATATAATTTTGCAAGTAATTATAGTTTCTAGCAAATATTTTCTTTGATTAACTATGTGTGCAATATTTTTTAACTTCCTAAAAATATTTTCAATGACTATAAGTACTAAATCTATTCCAGGTACTGTTATTATACAATATTACAAGATGAGCTATCATTCCAAAACCATGGCATTTTTACCCCAGCTTTTGCTGAATTTACAACTAGTGATATAGAACAAAATGTAGAAATAATGAGAAGTAGAGGTGTAAAGTTCCCAGTTATTTGTAAGCCGACAGTAGCTCATGGCTCTAAATTGGCACATGAAATGGTATTGATATTTAATGAAAGAGGCCTCAATGTATGTAAAGCTCCTTGTGTAGTGCAAAATTTTGTTAACCACAATGCTGTTCTACATAAAGTTTTTGTTGTAGGAAATAAGTAAGTTATATACCTACCAATAAATTATGTATGATATATAAGTTTTAAACATCAATAACATTGTGTAATGATTTTAGGTATCACATTTCTGAGAGACCAAGTCTTAAAAACTTTAATGCTTCTGAGAATTTGGATCCAATATATTATAGTACTGGTGAAGTTTGCAAAGCTGATAGCAATTCAACACTTTCAATATTAGACCCTCATGATAAGTCTGATATTAGGATGACACTCGATGAAGACAAAATCAAGACAATTATAAGGATTCTCAGAAGAAAGATCGGCCTTGTATTAGTTGGTTTTGATGTAGTAATAGATAATGTGTCAGGAAACCATGCTGTTATTGATATCAATGTATTTCCGAGTTATGACAGTTTTCCAAATTTTTTTGAACTTCTAATAGAATCTATTGAAGATACTGTAAGTAGAAGTGGCAATATGGATATTTCTGACGACATTCTCGAAGATCACACACAGAATGGTCTTGTAAATATTGGTGATAGCAATGCTAGTTACAGTGTTATGGGAATGAATATAAATTAATTATAAACTTTTTGATCTTATATTTCGGAAGTTGATAATTTTTTGTAATATAAAAATTTAAGTATTTAGAACATATTGTAATGCAAAGCTTTAAAAAAATGTATTTTATGGTTGCTTTTAAAAGATTTATATACCAAGTATTTTTTTGTACTAATTTACATTCCTTTCAAAACTTTAATTTGAAAATGTATTATCATTTACTTTCTTATGTCATTAATATAATTTGTTTTACCCTCTTTATGTAATTTTAAGGCGCACTATTATTATTTAATTTATATGATAAAGTAACTATTTGAAATTACTTATATAAACTACATTAACAGTTACTGTTGTGTTTTTGTTATGTGTGACATTTTAAATGATTTTATTTAAATTATTAGTCTTATTGGACACTTTAATTAATTTTCAATACTAACTATTTACTCTTGCTTGCTCTGTTGAGTAAGCTAAGATCTTTTTTCCGAAGTTCCATAGATAGAACAGTACGCCATTACTCTTTTGGCGAGTTGTTTTTCGCATAGTTAAGTTATAACACCATTTTTGGCTACCAAAGTTCGTCTAAGTGAAGTATGTTTATAGCGCTAGTTTTAACAGTAGCTTCGTAGATTTTACTTGAGATCTTGTTTAGGGAAAAGATTTCGACCTTTATATTATGAGCTTGTCTGTTGCTGTTAGCCCTAATGGCTTTGTCACCGTCACCGGGAGGGGTGGGTTGTCCGATACGACCTTCAAAATAAATTCGTTCCTGAAAGATTGGGGGGGGGGAGTGCGCACTTTCCAAAGGGTGCCCTTAGGACGTTGTTGAAGGGGGGATGTCTAGCCTCTTGACTGTCAGGGGATTCCGACCGTGATACAAGTATAATCAACACTTTTGACACAATCTTTATTGCAATTATGTCAAACATCTGGATTTGCATTATCGTCGGCCTAGAAAATCTTGAGGATTGGTCGAAGGTATCCAGCGATCGAAACTGTGTGCCTGCTTTAATAACTGATCAAATTTTATTCCTATTAAATTTAGAAACTCTTTAGTAATAACACAATTCTCTAATATAAGCTTGTATCTAAAAATATTGAGCTAGTGTTATTTTAGTTCGTTTAGATATTATTCCATTTCTTATTTAGGTAGCTGTAGTACATTTAAGTAAAATATTTAAAGTGCTACTGACAGTGGTTTTGCAACATTGATTTGATGAACTAGATTACGGGATTTAGTCATCTAGCCTGATACGGCGTAGTGAAATATTTCAGGATTGCTGGTTAACTCGGCACCATTACAAAGTAACTAGTTCTAGGTTAAGATCGATCTTAGTGCTTGCTATTTATGTATCCTCGTGGCAGATCTCTACATGGAAAGGCAGAACTAATTACACGTAGAAAGTTGTTAAAAATGTAAAAAACATTTCTAAGATATCTCAAACATTCAAGCTATGCCTATAACTTTTTGTATCCGTCATCTATGCTGACTTTCATTCATTTATTCTACAAACAAGATTATATTTTGAAAAATTATTTGATACAATGTATCTGTCCACTGATTTTAGGTATACCTAACTATTCTTTGTTTTAGAAGGCTGACGAGTTATTGTGTGAAAACAAAATTCTTATTTTTCTAGTACCTATTGCTTTTAAAATATATTTTAAAATCTGTTGATATTTTTCACGACAATCACGTAACTATATGAATATTTTTATTATAATTTTTCTATGTCCTTTCATTTCATATGCCTAATCGTATCATTTTATTCATGGATAATCTTATTTCATTTTAGACCGCTTTAAACAATAGTTATTAAATGATGAACAATTACAGATTTACGCACGTCACTCTTAATCGTGACTGTTTTTTAAATCTTAAAGACTGCTTCCTCTTTGTTATTTTTCTTGTAGATTGTGTGTTTCTCTTTACAGCCGAAGATAATTTCCCATGTGCCTTGCATATCTTGTACCTACTATATTTATAGCATCTGTAAGATTTATTTGTAAAGCTATATATGTAGTTCTAGGCCAAGAGTAGTACGACTAGATAATTGCTTGACTTAACGAGTATTTGGTACTTTTGACGTTTTTTAAGTACATATTTTAGTTTCATTATACTAAGACGCCACAAAAAAACATGCTTCAAAGTCCAATAACGCACAATGTTTTTTTAAATATAAATTATATGCTATATATAAGTACTTAGATGTACTAATATATGCAAAATACTCAAAATGTGCAAACCGTAAAATTTATACAATACCAATAATCTTACAATTTAAATATTTTTAGTTAGCATAAGTTCGTATTAGGTATACAGTAAGTATATAATGTTTATGGTAATAAAAAATAATAGTAAGGTTTGATTACTATAACAATTTAATTATTTAGAAATAACTAGTTATTTTCAAATGTATCTTAAAATAAAATACATATTGGAAGATAATCTCCTGATAAAATATACGGTTTGGGTTGTTTTTTTAGGATTGCTAGATAATATTATTATTTAGTTCCATAGCTGATTTTAGAAGGGGGGTGTGTAATTATTCGCAACTAAAAATGGGCCAAAGGATTTCGCTATATATTTATATATAGCGAATATATTCGCTATCTATTTAGATATCTAACTTTATTTGAAAACTAGAAGACCTGGCGAACTTCGTATCGCCCTATAATAATCAAGAAATATCGATTACGTTTTTTTATTTATATTTTTGGAGTTTACCTGTAAGCCATAAATCTCCGTGTTTTGAAGTGCGACAGAATGATTGACATATTAGTTAGTTGTCAAATCTAATGTCAAAAAAAACCGTTTGTATGGGAAATAGAAAAGGGCTGTTTTTATGGTTTTCCCAGTAATGAATCAATTTTTTTCAGCTTTTATACCTTCCCTGAACCTCCACGAATATTTCAAGACTAAGATAAGATAAATCCGTTCAGCTGTTCTCGAGTTTTAGCGAGACTAAGGAACAGCAATCCATTTTTATATATATAGAAGATATGTCTGATCTTATTAGAAGAAATGAATTGTGCTATTGATGTCATTTCTTCCTGTAATGTAACGAAATATCGTTACATTACAGGAAGTTTTTACCCCACAGTTACAACTACATACGGATTAAATACACCTAAAATAAAAAATCCAAGGTCATAAGAAACATATGTTTTTGTACACCCTTTGTCATATTAAATATCAAAGGATAAATAACTGGGTGTTTTGACTTTTTAAAATGTTATGTCTACAGTCTACTCTTGAATTGTTATATTAAAAATAAAGGCATTTCATAAAGTAATTGTATTGTCTATAAAGTTTTGACCGTTTGTTATTTAAAGTAAATAATTTCTACTCAATAAGTAATAACTTTAATTAATTTCTTAAACCAGGTCGACAGTGTTGTGTATTGTTTGCTAAATGTCATTGAAATTTCAATTAATATGGGGTTAATTGTTAATTGTATAGATTATTGTGTTTGTAAACTGTACCTATACAGTATTGATATAATGATATTGTGTATATTTAGGGTAATTTGTGAGTATATATAACATTGAATTAATTATTCTATTCACGTTATGAGCAATAAATATTAAATAAAATCACAGTCATTGATAAGAATAAAGTTATAAAATAGTTGATATTTTTAATATTATTTTGAAATTACTTTTTAATTGGTATAAAAAGTTATAAAATTATTCCAAATCTAGTTTATTAGGCTTACTCATAAATAATGTGTATTGTTTTTTGTAAGTAGATATAAGCGGGAAAGAAAAATCAAGTACGTATGGGAAATAGTAATTATGAAAAACTTCATAGCAGATGCTAAATTTGAAAGGGTGACGGCCATCTTTAACGGATAATGACATAATTATTACCTTATTTATTATCGCGAATTCTTGACAAATGTCAGTTTCAAGTTAAAATAATTTTAAAATGAAGTTTATAATGTAGCGAGGGAAGATAGAGATCGATGGTAATGTGTTTTAACACCTGCATACTTAATCATTTATTTGAATAATTATTAGGCTTTTGCACACGGAACATCGCATTCAGTCTGTATTTGTATATGCTGACAGATAAATGAAAAGTTTATTTTTTGTATATTAAATTCTTTTGAAAAGGAAGTAAGTGATATGATGGATGAACATATCGAATGTTTTAAGCACGATATGAAATAGGCTCTGTAGCTTAATTGACAAAGTGATTGGAATAGCATATTTCAGACATTGAAGTGTCAATCCTGCTCGTGATGATCATTTCAAAGGTGGCAAACGAACAGACGGCCTGTTTGATGGGCAGTAGTGACCGTAGCCCATGGACATATGCAACACAGGTGTTGCGGATGCGTTGCTAGCTTTGATTGTGGAGGAAAAGGGAGGTGTAGGAATAGGGAAATAGTAGGAAAGGGTGGGAGTAGAGAAAAGGCTCTCTCACTCATCGGATGAAACGCAACACTAAAGGTACTTCACGCCGATTTTCTGTGAGAGGGTGGCAATTCCCCGGTCGAGTCAGCCCATGTTCGAGCTGAAGTAACTTGACTACAGCAAGGCTCTACCACCTCTAAATATATATTTATTTAAATTAATCAGATTAATAGCCACATTTTATATAACAGAACATTGTAAAATGATACGAATAATCCTATATTGTGAGGATAATTGTTACCACGAAGCGTTATAACGTTCAAATAACAAAATGACGCTTACAGTATAAATACTTTAATCCCTAGTTTTGATGTGGCTTATACCATTATAAGTTTTAATTGAAATATTCATGGTATTTATTTATTCTTTTGGTTAAAATATTTTATACAAAATTAGGAAACGTATAATATGTTAGTATGTTAATGTTATGTATTATAGATACAGAAATAATTCATTCTGTTGAAACATGTTTTTGTAACACAATCTTGTTCTATAAGAATAAAACAAGATGTCAGTCCACCTTTCTGTTCCGGCATACCGATATATTGGTTAATAAAAAATAATTAACCAATTCAAATTGCCTATATATTTATAATTTAAGT